TGCAGGTAGGCCCAGGGATCAGCCAGAGGAGGAAAAGACCGGGTGGATGAAGGTTCTCCAGTGCCCCTGACCTTCCCATCCATACAGAGTTACATTCCTCTGAGTCCCACTGAGGATGCTCAGTAGCAAACGAGGGCACCAAATTACCTGTCAGAAAAAACTCCTTTTAAAGATTAAACAGATCTCCCCAGGCCTGGAGTACAAAAGTGAGTAAAAACACGCAAATGCTTTGTCCCAGGTCATCATGAGACTGGCACTAGTACCCTCCCCCAGCCTGCCTTATTTCATATCAGAAAGCTGCAGAGCTGAGAAGCATGAAGTTAGTCTTCCTAGCAAGAAACAAAACCTTTTAAAGGTCATTTTCAATAGAGGGATGCTGTGCAGTGTAAGCAGCTATAAGATATTAACCTTATGGACAGAGCACTCTTCCCGTTACCTGCTAGTCCTCAGGGACATTACAGGTTGTTTTTGTGGCAATTGTGGCTATTGCCTAAGAACGGGCTAGGTACAGCAAACGCATGGTTGTTTTCCATGATATCCTTTCAGGTACCAACTGGAAGACGGCCATGCTGGTCCTCAGCCCCTTGGCATTCATACTGGGATTAATAATACTGACACTCAACGTTCATTACAACAAGTAAGTGAGATTAAGGTTCATTCTGTTTGCCACTTCCCTGTCCAGCATTTCAAAACAAAAGTCTTGATCTTGGCACCCTTCCCAATCCCACACCTGAAGTATCTGGCTCTGAGCAGATGGTTCTGCTTGCCCGTGATGTCACCCTTGATGATTTCTCCTCTCTGCCACCCCGTTTCTCCCTCCCACTCACTGTCCCATCCAAATACAGCCACTAATGTTGGATCCTTCTCCCCTACCCACCTCACGCTTCCCTGAAGGTTTAGGCAATTTGCGCACTACGGCTGCTGATCCAGTTCACAGGGAGATGCGACCAAGACACAGGCAGGTGCAGTTACGTACCCTCTTCTCTTTTCTCCTAGGAAGAAGAAAATCCTCTCTGCTCTGAAGAGCTCCCCAGCCAACGGCAGCAGAGCTGACTTACGGGAACCATCTCCCTTACGAAGAGGTCCCCAGCCGTACCTTCCACCATCTTGCTCCCCTTCCTTGAGGCGTGGAGAGATCCTCATTGAGTGGAAAGATGGGACTGTCACTCCTCTTTTTGATAATGCCAATTATCAAATGGACTAGCTCCAAAATAATGGAGCTGCTGTTCCATCCTGTGTCTCTTCCCACCAGGAAGAGTGCCACCACAGCCAATCTCCTCCCTAGCCTTGCTATTTTGACAGGGAGTTGTAAGCGTTGTTTGGGGATATTTTTAAACACTTGAGAACAATCTTCTTGCACAGCACAAGGCTGAAGCAAGCAGAGCAGCTTCTTTGGCTTGTATAGGCACACGCTGCTTAGCTCTTCCAGAGCTGATTTAACCTGTAACAAAACTCATATTTAGCTAAACGAAGCAGAGACTCTCGCCAGCTGCAACTGTCCACTGCCCTGAAATCCTAGTCACAGAGCACGTGAGAATGTAAGTCCTTGGAGATAAGGTGTAAAGGTGAAAAACAGAAGTCCTGATGATCCTTAAATCCTTTTTAAGATAAAACTAGTTGCCAACAGACACAGAAGGCTGTCAATTATTTTGTCAATGTGAGAACATAACTAATAAGCACTGCCTTCAGGACTCAAAAGATTAAAGTCTCCTCCAGGTATCTGCCAAAATACTCCCCCCACTAAGTTATCAATTAAGTAAAAGTAAGTCATTTTTCTAACTTAAAAGGTAGCACTCCATCATCCTCTCTGCATCATTGCAAGAGTCCTGCTGAGAGAGTATGTGTGTCTGAAAATATTTCCATATTTAGGATGTATTAGGCCTTTTTTATAACACACATCATCTTCCTGTACGTAGAATGACAAGTAACGTTGGTGATGCTTGTCAGGGATATTATATTATCCAGCCATTTTACACCAGCTTCAGTCTCTGATTTTCTATAGTCATATGGAACAGTAAATGAACAGATATACTGCTCCCATCTCAGCAGTAAGACAGGTTTTTCCTAGAAACTGCTGTTTCATCCTGTGTCTCTTTCAGCCTTCACACTTCCAGTATGAGCATAATTACCCATGACCCATCACTCAGTCCTCACCTTTTCTCAGTGAAACTTGCAACGTCTTAGTGCTTTCCTAATATTAACGAATTTACACTTTCCTTCTCTCTGATCTTGTGATTATGGAAACCATAATCAATGCTGTAAGTCAGGAATTATTTGAAGAAAGTAATACTAACACCAGGAAATTACGAGCTGCACCAGTATATCTGTTCATCAGTGCAAGGGAAACTATATCCGAATCTCTCTCTCCCTCAGACTTAAACAATGCTTTTCACTTTACCTAAATTAACTTCTTGTGGCATTTCTCTAGAGTTTGTTTTTATTTACCCTAAGGGCAGAAGTAAAGTCCCTAGGAAATTTAAAGTCTCCTGGTTTATATTTTTTATTTTTAAACATAGATCCACAACCTGGTAAAAACTTAACCACCATGAGATATTATGACGACCGAAAACTTAACTAGTCTCAAAAAAGAAAATATAAACCTCATTGGTTCAGGGCATAAAAATCATAGAGGTTGGATATAAATGTGTTCCCCAGGCAGATCATTTCATAATTATTTATTGGAGGATTTCCCACACACTCCTTGGGAAAATACTTTACTACTAGACAAGGGCAGAGAAAGAACCCTTTCTTCACCAGTGGGCAGCAAATACAAACAACACAATCAGAATTAAATTCTGACTTTCCAATGCTTCCACTTTAAAACAAATCCAAAGATTTTTAGGTCAAGTTTCCAAATGCATAAGCATAATTTTACACACAAAATTTGTGGGAATACATTCTGTACATAAATCGCTCAAAATACACGGGCAGTGCCTCACCAGTTATCACAGTTACATCCCTTGCACCTTCTTCTACCACAATTAAGAGGCCTGCCTTTGAAATTTCGTCCAAGGAGCACATCACCTTACAATGCACAGCGCTCGTTACCCTCCAAAACCTCGACGTGCTTTGGGAACACTATGTACACAGTGCCATTAAAATGGAAACACTCACTTGGAGTTCAGCTAAAGTTGTGCCTTCCAAAGCAGCAAGTGCTTCTGTTCATTAGTGCTGAATGGGCAGAACAGAGGAGCTGTTCATGACTCTCTGTAATTCATACTTAATATGCTAATCTTGCTCATAAACATGAAGGCAGCAACACCACTGTTTACATAGCTCTGATTAAATGGTAGCTCAAACAATAACAAAAAAACCAAGACTGTGAAGCAGCACAGGCTTTTAACTGTTTTCTCCCCCTCTTTTCTGCTGCTTGTTATCTTCCAGTTATTTCTCACTGGTTTACCTATATTAGATGCTAGAGAACAAAATCTCCAAGGTACAGATGGGGAGCTAAAGGTGTGAGTCTTCATCGCAAGGGTCTTAAAAAGCACGTTCACCAAACATCCATCAGGAAGACTCCAAAACAGATGATTCTGCCTTAGGGCTGGACCTGCTGACAGCAGGAGACACCTTCCATCCTCTGCTTCTAAAGCTAGCCGAGAAATACTCTCAGCAATCGCACCACCTATGTGCTGTTCACCCTCTGCCATCACCCAAAGGCAATGCTTGTAAACAGTGTCCATAATCAAAATAAAACCTGACTGCAAAGTGGAGCACTGAAATCGTTTATGTGATATCGTTTAACATACATAGTAAAACCACACAAAAAAGGATGCACTGTAAGAGGGCCTTTAAAAATCACTCTACAGGAAGGTTAACAGTCACGAGCAAGACGCCCCTGTCACAGTGGTACTAATATTACTAACGTACACTGCACCCTAGGACGAGTGCAGCGTAACTGGAGAGTAACACGAGACTAAACTGCTGCCCTTATTTCTCAACCCAGTTATGCTGCACCTCTGGTATCGCAGGTCTTCTCCAGGGCTGACGTGATGCTGATGACCCTTGCTTCATTCCTGCAGCAAGGAAGAGGACAAGGTGGAAGCAGAACCCACTTTCTCATACACTTACTGGCTTTGTAAGTTCCAAGTGCCTAAGCAGTAAAGGTTAGAGGAGACATAGGGAAGAGGGGACACTTGTTCTCCCCAGCAGTTGCCTGGGATTCGGGAAACCTCGTTCCTGACCTAAAAATTTTAATAATGCCATCGGGCCTTTTTGGTATTTATAGATCAAAACATCCAAAAGATTATGAACCATTACTAACTGAACATGCATAATCACACACAGTGCTAACAACCTCAGCTCCCACCAACGTCAACGACAAAAGTGAGGTCCACAGGAAAGCTGATGCAGGCGAGCTCATCGGTACCGCCGCAGACATCTGCAACCACCCAGCATGAGTATCCCCAGCACAGCCCTGGCAGTGCACAGGGCCCTGCTGCCCACACACAGGTACAGGCTGCAGCCACAGAAACAGAGATGCTATCAAACGGACACAAGATTGCACATTAGACTAGATACTCTGTACAGAAAATGCTAAACTAGGCAGATAGACTTCCCTTTCCTAACACCCTGAATAACATACAGCTAAGGTTCTGTTAAAGAGCAAAAAGGAAAAGAAAGAGGCAAAAGAAGAACTCCAAGTTTACCATTTAAATACCGTACGTCAACTGTTTACTAAGAGTCTTTGGATGGAAAATGTTTTCATAACAGTGCATTGGTGACATACACAAATTCATGATACAAAGGAGACCCGAAATGATTTGACAAATTATCACAGCGGAGGAGCTGGGAAGAGAGCTACTGCTTCCCAATGCAAGGTGCAACTTCCGCAGTAAATGTTTTGTTATCAAAAACCTCCACATGCTCATTTTCTCAACTCTGTAGTTCTACATCAGTCAAAAAATATCAAGTGTTTGACTTTTTGAAAAGACCTGTGGTTGCTCAGCATTTCAAGGAGAGAAGGGAGGAAAAAAAAAAAAAAAAAGAGACAGGAAGTCTTTGTTAGCTCTGGGTTTCAATTCAGACATCTCTGGCTTATGGTTCAATCAGACCATGCTTTTTTGCATTAGCTAGGGGAGACAAAAGCACAAGCTCTTTAAAAGTTCTGAGTATCTTCACTGAATTTGTGTAGATTTAAAAAAAGAAATTTGTACTTCTGCAGCCATGTAGTTCTTCCCCAGTTAAACAAAACAAAAGAAGCAGGCCATGTTTCTTCAAAAATTCCCCCTATCCTTCACAAAAGCATTTATTCTCTGGAGCAGAGAAACTGATGCACTTCTTTCAGCGTCGCTTGCATGTCCTCATATTCTGCAAATTTGCAAGCATCCTCCAGCTTCAGCCACTGGAAAGCCTGGTGCTCCTCCGAGAGCTTGATTTCTGTGTTACAGTCCTTCATTTCTGCCAGCCAGTAAATGACGGTCTTGGGTTTCCCACGGACAGGATAGTGCAGTTCTTTCTTGTACCCCTCTATCAGGGTGAGCTGACTGGCCTGAAGACCAGCCTCCTCCTGTGTTTCCCGGAAAGCTGTCTGCAAGTCATCCTCTCCTGGGTCCACATGGCCTGTCAAGAAAGTGAACAGTCTCTGAGAAAGAAACTCAGATTTTGTTTATTCAGTTGAAAACTAGGAAACGTTGGGAGACAGATGAGAGTAAACTGTAGCTGACACAGACCAAATGGAAATTAGAGAACAGAGATTGCTTTCCCAGCTCTTAGGTCTTGATACGTCTTTGTCTCACGACTTTTAGGATTGCTGTTTACACCACATCTTCTGAAACGCCCAGTGGCCTGGCAGCACTAGACAACTTTTCTTCCCAGTCCTCCTCTTCTGGAGCACTCTACACCTGCAATATTCCACTTTAGATAATACTGAGGACTAAGTGCCTCATGAATGTTTTTCCTTTATCCAGTTAGGGGGGAGACTGCTCATCTGCAAGAGTCTTCGTCCTCTCTCAACTCTTCCCTCCCACAGAAGCTTAAGGCTCAATTCTGCAAAACTCTTACTCGTGCCAACAGCCCAGAAACAATGGGACCAGGCACCAACAAATGCCGTTTAAAAGGTGGGTTTCAGTTAGGCTAGGGATATTTTTATCTCTCTCCCATATTCCCCTCTGAAACGCAGCAAGCCTAAAAGCCAGTCCTGTCACCAGCTGTGTAGTTCTTCTAGGACACATCATTTATTTTATGTTGCTCAGAACGAGAGGTGCCATTACAAACAACGGATAAATATAACATATCCCCAGCTGTTTGTACTTTTGTTGAGAAATGTCAGATTTGGTTTTCTCATGAAAGCTCCAGACCAGAACATAAATAGAACAAGCCAAGCAAGATCTCAAAAAAGCAACATAGCAGGAGTTAGGAGGCTTCAAGGGAAAAAAAAAAAAAGTTAAGCTTTATTTTGCCCCTGATGTCACTCTGTTTTCTATGTAGCTGGCTGCAAATTGCCATAATTCCATCAGAGAGGTGAATCTTTCCTCAGGGCCCAGGTACCCAAAGCCAACCTTTAGTACTACAGCTGGGGTATGTGGGAAGCTCATTTTGCTTTCCCAACAGGTCTCACTCACTTCTTTGCGTATCAGAAGCTTAAACAACCCTTACAACATGACACCACCTCAAATGTAAAAATACGCTTCTATTTCAAGCGGTAACTGTGTAGAACACAGCATCTGATGCTGCACTTGACATCTTGGATATTTGAGATCAAATACCCTGAGGCTTTAAGTAAAAATATTTTCCCCTTGAATCTCGGCACTGCAAGTCAAGCTGTCTCCTTTTTGACAAAGTATGTACTTTCACAGCTGGAACTTACTACTAATAGTTAAGAAACAGAATCCACCTGGCCTTGCACAGCTGGATTATTTTTACAGTACCCACAGTAGATGCCCACAGAACATCCATGAACAGTAAGTAACAACTATTTTTTTATGATAGTCATGATCTGTCGTCACCAACTGTGCAATGAGCTGAGGTAACAATAAAGCTGGAGGGATGAGACTCAGTTTCAACTCAAAGGACATCAATGCAACCTCATGCTCTCCAGCAGAGCAAAGGCAATCACCTCACCCTGCTCTTGATAACCTCAAGTCTAAGCTCAGTAAGTTTCCAACTTTGTGCAGTATAGTCTACCTACCAGGTGGAAAAAGGATGGTTGGCAGCACCTCATACCACCGCTTCTGGGTCCTCCCAGCACCAAGGCAGTTCCACACGATGAGGAGGAAAATGAACCCCGCATCCCCTTCCCACCAGCCTCAGCTAGGGTAAAGTCACAGTTCTAGGAGCAGTGTCCAGTTTAATCCTACAAGGATTGCAGCTGCTCAGGGAACATTTAAAATACCAATGTACAGCTGCAGCTGTAAATCGCCTTTCGCGTGCTCTTGGAGAGACAATTATGACTTCTCATTCTGTCTCCTGCTACGTTAAATCTACGTCTGCATCATAACAAGTTATGTTGCTGCATCACACAACTTGAGGCTGCCTTTGAAGACCACTCATATCACAGACTATATAGTGCAATAGCTTCCCTTCATTTATTGCCCCCAAATCTGTACCATGCTACTGCTAAAGGCTGCCATCAGATTGTGGCCTTTGATCTATAAAACCTTAAACAGCAGGTCAAGGGAGGTGATTCTGCCCCTCTACCCCACCTGCAGTGTTGTGTCCAGCTCTGGGGCCCCCAGCACAGGAAAGACACGGACCTGTTGGAGTGAATCCAGAGGAGGCCACAAGAACAACCAGAACCTTGCAACACCTCTCCCATGAAGAAAGGCTGAGAGTTGGGATTGTTCAGCCTGGAGAAGGCTCCATGGAGACCTTATTGTGGCCTTTCAGTAATACTTCAAGGTGGCTTATGAGAAAGATGCGGACAGACTTTCACAGGGCCTGTAGCAACAGGACAAGGAGTAACAGTTTTAAACTAAAAGAGGCTTGATTCAGAGAAGATATAAGGTTTTGGTTTTGTTTTTTTTTTTTTTACCATGAGGGAGGTGAAACACTGGCACAGGTTGCCCTGAGAGGTGGTGGAAGCCCCATCCCTGGAAACATTCCAGGTCAGGCTGGACGGGGCTCTGAGCAACCTGATCGAGCTGAAGATGTCCCTGCTCACTGCAGGGGGGTTGGACTGGATGAGCTCTAAAGGTCCCTTCCAACCCAAACTATTCCACAATTCTGTAATTTTGAGCGAGATGTATGCCTACAAGTCATTTCACTCCGTACTGAAATGCCTGTAAGAAATTTCAATCGCTTGTCCAGAATTACTGTGTTCCCAGTGGACCTTCCCACATGGGTCTCTCCTCTCACAACAACCAATCATGTCCCAGCACATATTTTTTAGCTTTCCAGTAGGCTGTAGACTCTACTCCCTTAGGCTTTTGGTGAAGTGGACAAATGGGGAGGTTTGGAAAGTTTTGTCCTTTCTCTTAATTGGAGAGCATAGTTGATACAAGGTTGGGGTTTTTTTTTCTCCAATTTGCAAATTCCTGTTTACAAACTGCTCCTGCACTATGCTTTAAGAGCACTGTGTTTTACAAAACAAGAAGCAAGAACTAGCAGGAAGAAATCTCAGAAGGTAAAAAACCAGCATATAAGAAGATCTACAAGGAATCTGAAGTATTTCTGTGCTGCACTTTTCCGGGTACCAGGGCTGTGACTACGTACTACCAAACACTGGCTCTGTCATGTGTCTTTAACAGACAAGGTGTGGCTACATGTCTCAGGGCACTGGGCTTGTCTTCTCCTCACTGATGAGCCAGGATGGCTTAGGTGAAGATGGCTGATAAGGTTACTTCTCCTACCTGTCCCTCATTAGGTATGTGCTCTTCATCAATGATTTCCTGAACCTAAATGAACTCCTACATCTTTTAAGAAAGGCGTTTTAAAGTAAATCATCACCAATTTCGGTTTGCCTTCTACTGTTGCGCTGCAAAGTGTGACCCTTCTGACTACACATGGGTCAAACAACCATGCATCGGCAACCGCCTTATCTGGTAGAGGGTCAGACCTGAGCAAGAAGGTAAAGATTTTTCCAGCCACCTCATTTCAGTTGCTTGCTCAATGTCTGCCAGAAACCTCAGATACCTGAGGAGTACAATTGGGTGACACCCCCCTCCCCCCAACCCCAATAATCGTGTCCAACAGCTTATCCAGTCACAACTTGCAAAGAATTTCGGCCACAAAACTCCCCACTCAGCTGCAGAAACAAAACAGCGTAATCAGTGGCTACTGTGAACTGATTAACTGCCCCTCAACACTGACTTCAGCCAAAGTTCAGTCTGTAATCTCACTCACTCCTGACACAACCTTGAAGTGTGTTATCAGAACAAACATCACCTTTGGGTGGGGTCCAGTGATGGGTCCCATAGGATGTCTGCAGGAGGAGGTATTCAATACCGTCAGGGACCTTAGAAGGTGGTGCTGACTGCAGCCTCCTGTAGATGATCAGGCCGCAAGCTCTCACAGCCATGCCTCTCTGTTAACTGCACGGAAAGCTGTGGAAGAGCACAGGGGATCAAGCAGGAACAACACACAACGTGGAGCTCAAACAGGCTAGCTGCATTCAGCCAGCAAACGTATATCAGCATGCGCTAAAAGTCATCCATCCCTTTGTGGTTACCACACAATTAAACTGCATCTTATTAACTGTCTTTGAATTGTAAAAAATTGAGTCATTTCCCTTTAAAACAAGCTAACAGGAACCTACATTAAAAAAAAGCTTTTTTAAAAAAAAAGTTATCAAGAACCATGAAATATGACCTGCATGACGTTTCTTTGCTGCTGATATATTACAAGCCACACCATAGGGCGAAAAAAATAAGACAAAGCAAAAGGAGAGACACAAATTAATACTCTGAAGCTCTCCCACTGCAAAAATCCAAAGGCCCTGCGCAAAGATAACACATCAACATTGCTGAAGTGGCATACAGAAATAATTGCCCAAGACAGATACCCTGCCGCAGAGAACTCAAGATGCCAGTGGCAGAGCTAAAGAAATGAGTGCCAAAGGACAGGGTCTCTGCTGTCTGGGCTAGCCATGAGGCTCTTATACAAAACTAAAAGCTTCTTGGCATATGCACTGACCACTAATTTGATGTAAATATAAAGGAACACACCTCTTAAGTGACAAATATTGCAATCAATAAGCTACGCAGCCAGGACAACTGGTCCTATATATTGAGATAAAGCAATGGAGATGGGAAACCCAAGTTATAGAACACAGCAGTTCCCAGTTTCAGGCAAAGCTTTGTATTTTGACAGAGCCGCGCATTTCAGTAAGTCATAAATTTACATAACATTGTTGTTCCCTGGGACGCCCAGTGAGACAACCAGACACCTCCAGTTTCCAGACTGGGAAACCACACCGCAAAGTCTTTCATCACCAACCGAGCCCCAGGATGGTGCTCAGTTCTCTCGGCTAACCCTTCTCTAACCGCCTCAATTAGCTCCTGATCAGCCACGCCAAGGATAA